GCTGTCTGTCCAGTACTCCCAGGTGGTTTTTCAATAGTTCTCTAATTGATATCAGCTCATGTTGAAATCCTCCAACCAATCAAATGAAAATCCCTATAAAACCAAGACTTGGAAATTTTCTTTATCCACGAAATTATCTTCACAGACTGGCTGTATATAGTCGTATTTATATTTACCAGAAATGTATAGTAGCCCTTTGTTGAGTAATAGCGGGTTGGGGTGACACAACTGACGTTATTACTCAAAAGTGACTGCAAAAGTTAAAAATAGAAGTTGTCCATTACGCAGTATACAACAACAGTAGAAAGGCAGAAAGCGTTATAAATTTAATAAGGTTAAAACTGTTACTGAGTGAGAATAAAGGTAGTTAGTTGAGTGACCATTTAACAAGCGTGGAGAGGATGAGATGTGGACGCACAAAAGAGACAAATGAGAGTGATAATAGGGAATTCATTATTTGAAGTAAAAGCAAATCAATCATTAAAAAATTTCAAGGACCGACTAATGTGAAAAGGTTAAGACCATGGTATCCGAATAAGTGACCGGACAAAGTTTCTTCTGCACACAGAGTTTGAGGGTGTATTGTCAAATTACCAATCAATACCTCTACCTTACACAAATGGCGAGACCTGACTACCTTTGTACCACTCGGCATTACTCTCTAGGTAATCTTGAAAGATGACTTTGATGGAGCTATGTGGCTTGAGTTCATCAAGAGCTCGAGAAAGAGTAATGTTTAGGAATGCGTTTGTAAAGTCTGTACTTTGTCCTGGTTCTGGATTAGTCGTCTAATTTTAGTTGAGGCCTACTCAACCATGCCAACAATTATATTAAGTCACTCAACCTACTTATTTAAGTTTCTACCCGGTTGACGCTTTCTGCATTACGTAATTTTTTATCGAAAAAAAACATTTACAATTTAGTGACACATCTTCGAAAATATTCCTTCTGTTGCTAGGACAATTTACTGTATATATGAAACTGTTTAGCTTGAAAATGACATTGGCGAAAAGAGGAACAGCTTCCTACTGAACTCAAAAAGCAAAACCTCTCAGTATCTCAAATATTTTATCCTCAGCGTATGTTTTTGTTAACTGCTGCTCAGTTTAAAGAGATCCGAAATTACGCTTCAAAGACTTGAACAAAAAATCTTACTTTATAAATTCTCTTGACTTATATGATATGAAATATCTCTACATACTGAAAGTTGATTGGTGGATGTTGACTAGTAGTGGAATCCAGGATGTGTATTTCGTCCTATTTGGGACTCTTCATCAGGATGTACCTGTATTCCGCAGTGAGTGATGATGTTCCCACTGAGGTTTGAACCCAGTGCATACTAATGAAGTATACCATGATATGCGAACAAAACAACATCTAAGCTAAGGATAAGTGGTATGAAATGTGAACTTTTTACTTAGTATTTACTTGTAGTTTTATCTACAGCGTGCAATGCCCAAATTTTTATTTTTATCAACTTCATTCAACAACTGGCTATACGACAGTGCCACGTGTCACGTGACTGACAAAGGGAAACTCAATGAAGAAGCCCTTGAGGTGAAAATAGGAGTAAGACAAGACTGGCTGCCTGACTGTTAGCATTGATAATGTTTGTTTTTTTTAACTTTTTTTATTTTTGATTACAGCTTGATTACAGACCGTATTTTTGGTACACGTATGGAATTTTCAGCATGGATATCGGTAGCCCAAATTTTGCAGGCCAACCATAGATATTGAGTGTGCATCGGCAGGGGATCGAACTCCGGACCATGTGCATGGTTGGCGAGAGTCCTAACCGCTGTGGTGGACTAAAGTATGCGGCACACTATATGCTGGAAGCGAGAAGACAGGAATACTCTGCACTCAACGATAAGGAGACTCTAGAAGATCTGGATTCCATGCTTTATGTTTAATGTCACACGAAGTCGAAAACTTGCAGGCAGGTGAAAACCAACGAACTGATTGAAGAAGCAGGTGGCGAAAGCAGGACTGCAGGTGAGCATGAAGAGAAAACGGAGGTGATGAAGAGAACCAACCAACAGCAACAGAAGCAACAACAACGAGCACCAACTACCACCAACGTGAGGAACTTGGAAGAGGTCACTGCTTTCACTTATGTGGCAAGAAAACTGACATCGTTTCAACCACAGGCGACAAAACAAATGTGAAGATATGAAACTCAATCAGACTCGGAAAGGTGAGATATGCCTTCATCAATCTGAAAATAGTATGAAAATCTTCTACCCTCACTCAGCTAGCATAAAGGAGAAAACTCGGATTTCCAACACCAATGTCAAGTCAGTCAGTCAGTTCTTCTATATGCGTCAGAAACTTTGGCAAGTGCATCATGGCATGCATTTCCAACAAGCTTCTGAATGATGACTCGTTTCAACATTGAGCTTCACACAGATGTGAATAAATTTCACTTGCCACACTCCCTACTTGCAGAACACAAAACAAGAGAAAAGAGTAAAGACAGGAATGAGGAAGAAAGATTAGTAATGTGGAAGAACAAAAGAGTTTTCTTGGATATGATAAGTTATAAAGAGTGAATGCATCTCTGCTGTCATTGACTGACAACGACTCTGAGTTATTCCATTATGGGTAAAACTTGTTTTGATAAAGTCTCACAGTGTTATACAGTAATGTTTACTGATGACGTTTCGAGCACAATTTATTGCTCATAATCATATCAAGGTAATCACACGACTTCCTAAATTCATTTATATAGTTCCATTGTTTTTCTCTTGATTTTCACTTGATTTGATTGGCAGTAGTATTTTCCATATTTCAGGTATGAGTGACGAGTCATTCCTATTGCATGTGTTGGGTGTAGACTCGATGAACAAGGATTCAGTAATCAACCTCTCTCTCCACCTACCTAGATTACTTTTTAGAATTTTAACCCTCTCCCACCCTATTGTGTGGTTGTGTGTTAGCGCATGCATTGCAATTGCTGAGCTTTTTTCTAAATTACTTATCTTCTCGGGGTCAACCATTCTTACCTTAGCTAAATTCTTATATTCCGACAATCTGACTACCCCTGACCTACTAGTTTGACCTATGTAGTTGACCTCACAATCATTGCATGGTATTTTGTAAATAATATTGTGCTCGAAACGTCATCAGTAAACATTACTGTATAACACTGTGAGACTTTATCAAAACAAAATTTACCCATAATGGAATTACACTCTACCACAGTGCACAAGTTTTATTCTTATATCAATGACTCTGAGTTATATCACCAATTGTCTCCAGCCTCCATCGATTACTACTATTTCGAGAACCCCAACAGGGCAGCTAGGCAGTCTACACCTTCCGATGTGACTGGCTGGATGGCCGGCTGGCTTAAACAAACTAACTGTTGTGGATTTCATTGATTGATGATACCACGTTTTGATTTGATCATCACTAGCCCTTTTTTATATACTGATCCTAGAGCAGACTTTCATTAACAGCTGTCTTCACTGGCTCTGTGCTGAAGATCAAACGGCCAGCTGAAAAGAATTAGCAACAAGAAACTCCAGCTGGCAACAAACTAATCAAAAGCCGATTATTCAACTAATATGTAAGAGAAAATGGAGGTGAATCGGGTATTCGCCATTGAGGAAGCCGTCAAAATGATATCGCCGACTAGCTAGACCATTGGTCGAGTTGAATTCCAATGAGAAACAACAATTGGGTCGTCAGTACGAGTGTGTGTTGGGGAGGAAGAGATGAGAGATTGTGGGCAATCGTGAGGTCAGCAGGCTGAAAAGAACATCAGAAAAGATAGCAAAGTAGAAATGTGTTGTTTAAGCACTATAGTCCACTCAGAACCAAAGAGAATACTAATAATCTTGATTTTGCAATTAATAGTGTCCTCTGAGCTGGTTGGTTTAGTTGTGCAGCTTTCGTCGTCTTTCTGGACAACATCCCCCCATTCAGCGCAGTATTTAGCATAAAGTGAAATGATTTAAATTTCTTCATGAGTGATATAATTGCGTCTCCTGGTAACCATCTTTACATATGTATTGACCATTTTCTATTGACTTGGATCTCGACTTTTACAAAATCTTATATTCTACATTGAATGTATACAAACCTTCAAGTGCCCATTCATGATTCTTGACATTCTTCATTCGATGATTAAAAATATAAAAAAAATTTTACACACTTTCCTAGGCAAGTTATTCATTATAACATTTAATTTGTATACAATTGGTAGATGGTGGCTAACAGTGGAATCCAGAATGCGCATTTCGTCCTATTTGGGACTCGTCAACTGGATGTACCTGCATTTCTCAGTGAGTGATGATGTTCCCACCGAGGCTCGAACCCAGTGCCCATAGTTTCAAACGCCAAAACGTTATCCACTAGACCACTACAGCCTCGGTGGGAACATCATCACTCATTGAGAAATGCAGGTACATCCAGCTGATGAGTCCCAAATAGGACGAAACGCGCGTTATCCTGGATTCCACTGCTAGCCACCATCCACCAATTGTATACTAATTAAATACCCAGACATCGTCGAAGCATCTGCACAAGAAGCCGACATGTCAACCTGAGACCGAGCACTTCGGTCCAATCAATCGACGGGAAAATCAAAAATTCAACTCAATAATTAATATGACCCGTTGCACAAGAGGTGGCTCTCGTGGCCCAAGTGGTCTAGTGGATAACGCTTTGGCGTTTGAAACTATGGGTACTGGGTTCGAGCCTCGGTGGGAACATCATCACTCACTGAAAAATGCAGGTACATCCAGCTGACGAGTCCCAATTAGGACGAAATGCGCGTTATCCTGGATTCCACTGCTAGCCACCATCCATCAATTGTATACAAATCAAATCCCCGGACATCGTCGAAGCATCTGCACAAGAAGCCGACATGTCAACCTGAGACCGAACACTTCGGTCCAATCAATCGACGGGAAAATCAAAAATTCAATTCAATAACATTTAATTGTTAAAAAGTAGAAAAAAATACAACGAATAATTCAACTCCAAACACTTACCGACAAATAAATCTTCCAGGTTTACACACGGGTATAAAAGTATCATCAACATCACCATTGATACTGCTACTTCCACTACTTCCACTCCCATACTCCACACTTCCACCATTCTTTTGCAAACCATTTTGTTTACCATTTTTCTGAGTACCATTCACATTTCCATTTTCTAATCCGCTGTAATGATTTCCATTCATACAGATCTCTTTAACTTCTTCTTCTTCTGCATTCTTATGCATACCATTACTGTGGGCAATATTATTATTATTATTATTTCGGCCACCATTCACCTCTCCATTCTTATGTTTTCCGGGCATGTGGATTATTCCATTTTTTTCAAATCCATTCGCTTTTGAAATATGAACTGATCCATCTTTGTGTTCACCAGCTTGAAGATGAAGAGTACTGTCTTCTTGACGGGTTTTGTATCGACTGGTTTCATTCTTTAAATAACCATTCTTATGATGACTAAAAATTGACATGACTACGAGCTATGCAGCAGATGAAGTTGATTGTGTCAGATTTAAGTATGAATATCAGTGATAATAGAGTGTGTGCAGGTGTTTGCTTGCGTTCGTTCGTTCTTTCGTTCGTTTGTTCGTGGTTATTCCTACTATTTATACTCTTAGTAGGTACCAGTTATCGAGTAATATTCATGTCCTTTTTAAATAGTAGTAATCGGCATCCCCACCCACCCCCCCACTCGTGCCATCCCGCTGACCCTATTATAATTACTAATCATGCAACACAATACACGTAATCATCCTCGATTTCTTATTGGTTAACTTCTTAGTAAACATTTTTTCAAGGTGGGTGGGTGAGTGCGTGGGTGGTGGGGATATTGTTTACATGTTTTCTTATAAACTATTGGAATACTTTTTATGTTAACGTGAAAGACTTACTTACTTACTGTTCATTCATTGACATAACTGATAGATATTGAAGGAATGTAGAATTGTGTGTGTACTACTAAATGCTGGGGAGGGGGTGGGTGGGGTGCGTGGCGCACACTCACACACACACGCACACTTGCCAGCGTGTCCGCGAAATATGTGTGTGTATATTGAAAATTAAGAAAATTAAGGAAATAATTATACCTTGTTTATTATTTGAATTTGTAGAATGTGGTTTTTTCAAAAAACTCCTGTCTTGTAAATGAAATAGAATAGAGAGAGAGAGAGATTTTAAATCTCTCAGCATGGCCAGATGTTGCTAGCTGGTATGTATGTGAGTGTGTGCGCTTGTGTGTGTGTGTGTGTGTGTGCGTGTTCAGTATACGACTACTGTCGTACTGTCATCGGTGAAATGGAATCTGGACAAAAGATAATTGACATCAACCTATATATATGCAGAAAAAGGCAGAAAATGTTGTCTACAATTATTACCAATTATTATTATTATTATTATTATTATTATTATTATCATTATTATTATTATTATTAAGTGTGTACTTTTGATGATTTAAGATGTTTTTTTCTTTTCGCAATCTTTGGTATGTGTAAATAAATTTCAGGAACAGAACGGTACCTTAAAAAGAAACATCTATAGGAAAGTGACATTAACGTAAATTACTCTCTACCAATTAGGCTAGCAGCCAGCTCTCACCACAGTATTATAAGTTCTTACATAACAAGTGTGGCTTATAACCTGGCCACTGGGCAACTGAGAACTTATTATGACCCCCAAGTAGAGGATAGTAGATGAATATCGCCAATAGATCCAGATGCTATGGTCGCTAGTTCTTGCTATATGTTCAAAAAAGCAGTCAAACAGTAAGATCACAAAATCTAATGGGCAACTATTATGCGTAGATCATAGATGAATTCCACTATTGTTTTGTTGTTCTCTCTGAGTGTTGAAGTACATTCCGCAGGCCTTATTTTCAATTACCTGCTGTTTTCTCACTTCACTACTAAACATCCATAATTTGAGGTACTAATACTTCTTCAATCACTTCAAGATTGTAACTCTATTATGGAAATTTGAGCTGACGACCGTGAGCACGAGATATTCTTTAACACCTGGCTTCACTGAGCTGAGGATATCCGACGACTCTAAGTATCCAATCGTCGCTGCTTTCGTAGAACTTCTTGCATCTAATGGTACGACCATGTAATTCTGCGGTTCAGGAAGAGTGTCTTTGGACGCGGTGGCGGGCATCTTAAGACACAGGGGGATCCACACTAATCGCTATCTGTTAGTCCTGGAAAAGCAGAGAAGTGGTTAGATTATATGACACGGAATGAAGGATAGTTTTATTAGGTCAGGATCCATTAGACAATAACAGAAATCTACGTGAGATCCGAGAGAGAGAGATGATTCGAATCACTGGCTTGAGAGACATCACCTCGAATTGATCAGGAGTAGTAATCACTGGCAAATATGCTGCAGTTTCCTCCTTTCTTCCCTTTCCAAAAATGACATATATATCCACAGTTTATCTCATTAATCTATCTATCAGTCTGATGTGTATACAATCCATTTCATTAGTCGCCTGTTAGATAAAAACAAATTACATGTGAGACGTCAATCAATCAAAACCAGATTTTGAGCGAACAATTGTGGTCTCGATAACTGCTTCCTCGGGCTCTACAGTTATAAATCCATGAATACTAGAGTATATATAGCCAATAAAGGCAAATCAAAAATAATATCAGAAACTGTATCGGGGGTTGCATGTGTAAGTTGAGATGATAGTCGTCCATTGGTTAACATAGTCAAAATTAATTGTGTATAGGGGGTGTATAGTCAGAAAAAATGTGATGAAGTATGAATGAATAATTGAGTGGAATATAGTGTTCTTTTTTTGGAAATGGTCCTTTAAAAGACTCGATTATTACTGTCAATATGTTGACGATACCTTTATCATTTGGATAGACAACATCTGCTTCAAGTCTTCAATAAGGTACACCCAGCTATTAAATTCACTTGTGAAGAGGAACTCGAAGGTAGTATTCCATTTCAGGATGTTCTTCTTACAAAAAATAGAACAGTCGGTACCTTAAAGAGAAACATCTATAGGAAAGAGAGGTGGAACGGATAATACACCCACTTCCATAGCTTCATACCTATACAATATAAGTACAACCTAATTCGTTGTCTTAGTCATAGAATTAGACGCATATGTACCGACGATTGTATTCAAGATGAAATAAGAAATCTTACAAACGCCTTGCTATAAAATGACTATCCCAACCAACTTTTTAAAGAAGTATATCTATGAAACTACGCATAAAACCAAGCGAGACACAGTAAGTAAGAAAAAGCTTTACTCTTAAATGTACAATTCAAAGGCGATATAACCAGCGATATATATTAAACCGTAGATGAACGAAATCAATTAAAAGAACTTTTAATGCCACCAGACGGGCATGTCAGTTTCTCAACCAAACCGATATTGACACTTTGCATGAAAGATAGATTGCCCAAAATGGCAACATCAGTGTGTGTTTATGTAAATTCAACTGCTCCTGTGGAGCTAGTTATAACTAGGTCGTACCCAAAGGAATTTATCTTTACACACTCGTGAACATATTCCTGTTTGGCTTGGGAAATGAGCAACCAAATCATTAAATGGTGCAATTCTGTCTCATCTAGTGGATAGCGAACAACAGTATCAAAGTAGATGAGTCATTTACAGTTGTGTTTCGAGTACTGAGCAACCTCCCCAAAGGCACTTGATTACGCCTCCTAGCCACAGTTGAGGCTTTAGAGATTAATAGAGAGACAGACCAGACTACGTGTACAGAAAAACCTTATTCACTCTCGTTGTCTACCCTGGCCCACTATAAGGTCACCAGGATCATAATTTTTCGCACTACTAATATTATCATTTTGTAATATCGTGTCTTTATTATCCATTTTTCCACCCAGTTCATTTCACCTCATTGTTACCCTTACTTTTTTGTCAACCTTCATGATTTTATACTAAGCCTACCAATTCTGTAGCATCTTATTACAATTTACAATTTAGCTTCTTTATTTTTTATCATTAGACATTATCGGACAGCCTTCACATTCAGTGCCTCCTTTGTTAATGTGTGTTTGCATGCAATTTGTGGTTATCGCATTTCTTGCCACCCCAATGACACTTGTATTCTGCTGACTATAAAAAACAACACTATATCACCCAATTGTTCATTCACACTTCTTCACATTTTTTTCTGACTATACACCCTCTATGCACATTTGATTGACTATGTTAACTAATGGACGACTATCATCTCAACTTACACATGCAACCCCCGATACAGTTTCTGATATTATTTTTGATTTGCCTTTATTGGCTATATGTACTCTAGTATTCATGGATTTATAACTGTAGAGCCTGGAGAAGAAGTTATCGAGACCACAATTGTTCGCTCAAAATCTTGTTTTAATTTCAGGTTTGAACTATGAGATTAATATCAGTTAGAGAAGTATATGGGTCAGAAACTTCATGTGTCATGAAAATGACTCCCAGACTTTTATCAAAAGCGATTTATTTATTCAGCTCTATATTGAAGGACAAATGGAAAACTGGCCAGTTGTAAAGAATCAGCAAGAAGAAACTCTGGCTTGAAATAAAACAATGAACGAAATATTCCCTCCCATATTGAGTCATAAGAAAAATGGGTAAACAGCAAAGAACATTTTCGCTTTTCGACGATTCATTTTCATGAGCTACTGTACAATCATCGTAATTATATTAAACAAAAGATTATTTAGACCGATCAGATACCGGTAAACTTTATCCTTGAAAAATTGTATTACATAATTTGAATAAGGCATTTAGAAGACAAATTTTGCGAGATAATATCTCGTCATTTCGTAGTTGCTTTACAACCGCTTTACAACTAACATGGTTAACAATAATAAAATAAAGATCATGACAATTACTCAGTTAAATACAAAAGTACATACTAATGACCAATCATATCTAAATAGGTCATGTAGTCCATGGTAGGAGAAGATTGAGGTCTATTGTTTTTTGTACACACAGTTTAGGCTGTATGTTTCGCGATGGATGATGCTGGATTTCTATTCAGATTAATCGCGTTGGGGTTTTCTATATGATTTAGTAGCCACTTTGGAACATGTTCTATTTGACGATAATGGAACATTCTGTTGGTTCTACCTATATAGGTGTCACCGCAACAACTGCAGGTGAACTTGTAGATACAGTTTGAAGTAAAGTCCACAGAATTTCGTCCTTTAATCATAGGTACAGGGATCGAAAATGTTCAGCAAGTAAGAAAAAGAGATGCGGCGTAGGATTTGCGTTTGGTGGTTGACCAAGGCGTCTTTGAGCTGTCAACTGCATAATCTGGTCACCCTTGAACGGTAGGTTAATAAAGATAGCTTTCTTTGTACAGCAGCTATCTTTTCAAGATGTGGTTTTTCTTTGCTGTGACAAGTGATAAAGCTCTCCGGATAACCATTAGCTAATGAAACTGAATGTACATGTCGAAACTTCTTAATCAGTGTATCACTCGTGCATATTTTTCGGGTCCTTGAGAACAAACATTTCACTAGGGAACGTTTATACTGGATAGAAACAAAACTGGTAAAATGAAGTTATTGTCCACTCCATGTCTGTTTACCAAAAATAGACCACTGAATCGTTCCATCATTTCTCCTAATCATAGTAATATCCAGGAAACCGAGTTTGTTATTCGATTCTAGTTCGGAAGTCA